GTGGTATGATGGATCTCTCATTTCTCCACGCAGATCCCGCGGGAACAATAACGGGAAATCCCTTGATGTGTAAGGTGCTTCGATGAGCTTGCTATGCAACAAAAACGGAGTAGTTTTTCTCGCAGACGGTTAACTTAACGAATAAAGTACCGCAGAGGAAAGAAACATCGGTTAACGACGGTTAACAACGGTTAACAACTTTTCTGAAGAAAAACAACAGTTAGACTATCAGTTTCCTTTAATATATTCTGTTAACCGCTGTTAACCGTTGTTAACCGTTGGAATAAACATGTGCGTGCCTGTTAATCGTTTATTTCAAGCGTTTACGGTGCTTTGAAGCATTTCCCGTAGTATATAGAACCTTTTTGTTGATTTTCAAGCATTAAAAAGACCTTTTTACTCAAGGGAAAACTTTTTGACACTGGTGTAATTGTCATGAAATGCGCTGTTTTTTTGCCACAAAAGAACTGCCATCGCGTTCATTAATATTTGTTCTTTTGGCCTTGGTTGTCATAGAAGAATTAACGGTTTTATCGGCATGGATTCCATTATTTTGTCAAGTAGATAATCTGGTATATATGTTGTAAATTGTTCTAATTACACACTCAGTAAACGCGGGTATTGTTAACTCGGTGAAGCTTACTTTTCCAGTTCTACTCTAACTACATGGAGAAAGTTGTCACTGCAACTAAGTATCACTACCTCTAAGGGTTATTTTTAACTGCTTCGCCGCATTCTTGAGTCCTCGTGCATGACCTGCACACCACGCACTATTATTTTTGAACAGGACAGTTGTGCTGCGCAAATATAATAAATACCCAGTCTTATCTAATTTATTCGACATGTAAGCACAATTAACGTTGGTAAAAAGGCCGGAGGTAAGGCTCCTATTAAGATATCATACTTGTGACACACAGTAACTCCTTAACCGTGGCCACCAACCACAATTAATTTCAATACTTTTTCTGTAAAGAGCATGATTTCTTTCTCATTTAGGTATAAGGTTTCTAATTTATGGCTAAATTTCTAAGTGCATAATTAAGAGCGGTTTTCTGTAAGGACCGACTAAGGGCATGCAAGATAGAAAAATCCGATTTTCCCAAACTTTGCCAGAAAGAAGGCCTTGATGAACTGTTTCTGAAAATATAACTTTCTGGTCGTTTGGGGTTTTACTTATTTTTTAGTGAATTTTTAAAATTTTGGCCGTTAACGCTGGCTTCAATCACGCCGAAATATGCACTTTTGCAGAAGCTCCCATTAATACCTGGAAACCTTTCATAAAAAGATTAACCAAGCAAATCAAACTACCGTCTTTTCTCAGATTATCGGTGTCGTCAAATGCAAATAAAATGTAAACGTGAAAATTTGACAGATTTTCTAATTTTACACCTTTCAATGGTGATTACAACAACAGTATTTTTGCTAAATTCAAGGCCTAAAAAAGCACTCTGGTACATCGCTTTGACCAACAAAACTATACTACGAGGAAACATTATCATTTCAACTAAACATCGATGAAAAAAAAAATTGGGGTAAATGAAACGGCGAGTTCTGAGAGCGTTTTCAAAATGGGTTACCTAGGCCATTTTTGAGCGACCTTTTGAACTTGGAAAGGTTCCAAATCAGTGGAAATAGAAACCCAGAGCTCTTTAACTCCGATTTTCCTTTGCATGATGAAGCCTGTTTCCTCATTTCTAGCATATTACCAGTTAAGGATACTAGTCTTTTCAATTTGTGGTACTGTATTCCCTAAAAAAGAGAATTTGGAAAGTCAAAATATGAGTTTGCTCAGGCGTTTGCGGTTTGTTTACCGGTGAATTAGAAATTGATTGTCTTTGTACTTACAACACAAATAGGTGATCAGCTACAAGGTTAGTCAATTCACCAATTGCTTATAAAATACTTCCTACCTTACAGATCTTTTCCTGCATCGAAACCACAGCACTCATTAGAAAAGTACGAAGAGATCATCGAACTCGCGCGCTAACACAATTTGCATAAAAACAATTGACCATGAAACGCCACAGCACACCCAGTCAAGTGAAGTCTCATTATATTTTTAGCAATATTGGGTGTTTTGTACTATACTGACAAAAGGCATGGGATATTTCTATAATAGATACTTAAGTGTTAGGATAATTCCTAAATAATCGTACTTACCCTGAATAGTGCTGGTTAAAGTCTCTGGGACTGAAGGTAAAAACGACGCGCAGGAATAACGGACCCCGGGGGTACTCCCTTATATGTGCAGCTGGACCGGGTATATCATAAACAGAGTATGTATTTTGCAATTTGTTTCCCCTAAACAGGGTCAGCGTTTCAAATCCTCAGCGGCTCACATATACCCTAGTATTGGTCGAGTAACCCCCGGGTTACGGACCCACAAAGACAAATTAAACAAAACTTGTATGGATTGATTCCTTCCTTTCGTTGTCAGCAAAATCCTGTCGGAATTAAGGGAAAATCTAACATCGGGTAGATGAGCGCAGATTTAGGAAGAGCTCGTTGAATTAACAATGTTTCTCTCACATCTGCTCTTAGTCTTATACGATCATAACGCTTCCCGTTAATTCTACGTATAACAATTAAACATCGTCAGTTTAAGTGATTATAATACGAGTCAAGTTATCGCTTTGCTTAGAAGTAGTAATTGTAATAATACAATTATTTTCGAACAAAACAATAAATTTTAAAATCCGACGACACGGTCCGCGGAGCGATGGGGGGAGGGGGCATTGCGCAAAATTAGGAATGCGCAAAAGTATGAGGTCACCAGTAGGTAAAAGTTTAGAAAGAGGTCAGCGTGTAAATAAAAAAAACTGGAACTGAAGCTTTTTTTATACGTGATGAATCTGACGAGCTAAAATAAACTAGGTGGGACAATTTTTTTCCAACCATCGCGCAAAACGAGAAGCGGCCCCTCTTGACAACTGTTATCCAAACTGTTAACAGTAATTTGACTCTTAGGAGTTACAGCCGCACCCTTTTACAAGATCCCCTAACGCGGCAAGGTACTCTGCCTTGCGCCTTGGGTCAAATTCTTCTGTGCAGATATCAAAATACTCGCATATGTTCTTCAGCATTGCAATGCTGAGTGTTTTCATGTTACCTTTCTTGGTCAATTCGCAAAGGTTTAGGTTGTCATAAGCGCAGGGATGTTCTGGCTGTACTTTCTGTAACACAGACTGGCGGGTGTCGCAAAACTCTTGTTCATCCTGAGAAGCTTGTAAATCTGAGTCACTAACCTCTACAGCGTGACGCAACTTGCAAGATAATCTTGAAAAGAAAGACTGTATCTACTGCGAGGTAAGAAACTCATCACACGAGAACAGCCTCGAACCATCTACTTTTTTTGCAAAACGCATATCTCTCGCCACTTTCTCAGGGTTTTGTTTGTGGCCTGTTTGCTGTCCAAGCTCAAATTTTTCCTCCAGGTACTTTCTTTGTGATTCGTTAAACCGTGACGACTTCTTTGCAGTTTTCAACGCCCAACCCTCAGGTAAACTGACACCGTGCTTCTTCTCCGTTTCCCTTCCTTCAAATACTTTTGCAAGGCCAATATCGTCCTGAAGGATAGCGTGGTACTTTAATTTAGCCCTGTCCAGCAAAGTCTCTTTCTCCGGAATCAACTCGCATTTGCCAAACGACATATGCCTTTTCAAGACTCGAGTATATCTCGTATACCTTGATGAAACCTTCATTTGGGCAGGAGAACAAGACAGAAACGTCTTTCGTTTCTTCTACTGTCATCGTTTCATTGGGTCTTGGCTTCTTTGAGGCTTCCTTGGATGCTTTTACAAAGTCACTAGGGGAAAATCGGCAAGTAAATTTGCAGCTTTGCAAGACATCAGCAACTAAAAAAGCGAACATTGAAATGCAAGTCTTTTTTAATTTCAGATGAAACGTTTTTCGCGTCTTTTAAAGGTTTGTTAATTTATCATGTACACAACTGACTGAGTTGTCTATAGTAGTCATTAGTATAGACTCTCTTATAGTCTGTTAATATTGCCCGTTATCCGTAATTATTAGCTGACTAAGTCAGTGAGTATTTGCAACACTCCAATACAGTACATTTATATATCACTATGCCCGTATTTTTTTTTACCTTGAGCTTTCGTTTGGCTGATCTCCCTTCCATTTCCGACGTTGAAAGCTCTCCAAACTGTCAACTTGTCTTTGCAGTGCTCAAAGTTTTTTTAACGTGCTGATACCATCAAGTTTGACTTGAGGCAGTTCACAAGCAGAAACGGCAGCATTAACAACAGTAACGCGAGCCCCGGTGACACCTCCATTAGACAGGATAGCTGTTTGAAGCTGTTCAGCATTTTCCACGTCGTGGCCCTCATTTACATACCTGCGGACATGGGCCTTGATAGTCGCGGCTTTTCGGTCACAAGCCCCCTTGCCTCCTTGAGGGTCACTGAAATCTACTCTGCAAATGTCTATCCCAGTGCTTGCCTTCATTAGGGTGCATGATGCTATTACAGCAGAACTGTGATAACATCCCGCGTTATCTTGCCGTAGAAATGCTCTGTTGATTCTAGGATTCTCCTCTTTCAGCGACCTTAAGGTGTGATCAATAATTCGCACTACAACTGAGCTGTCTTGTGATGTATTCTCAACTATGTGGACGAAGGACTGACTTTCTAAAAGCCCTCTCATTTTTCTTGCGATGACACTTATATGCCACGATAATCCTCGTTTCCCGAACCAATCTGATTGGTTTTCTCTATATTTGAGCGGTAAAAACTTCATAGCCCAATCTTGTGTTATGAGTACAGAGGTCTCATCTAAAGTAAAGCGCTCAAGCACGCCGTCCTTGCTGTATCTTACCTGACACACCTAAGTTGATGTGCTTTCCAGGAGTGGATTGCCTGGACTGCATGACTATGCGTGTACAAGACGTCTTCTAGTTCTTCAGGTACAAACGTTGACTCAGTCAAGAATGTTTTAATTGAAAAAAGAACATTACTGAGACTTTCACACTGTGAACACTGAATTCAATGATTATGAGAGCATTGGGATCTTAGTTCATCGTCCTTACTATCGCTGAGAGCGTATCCGCTGCAATGGTCTGCAACCGAGGAGGACTCGATCGGACACATGAACCTTCAAAAAAGACAAAGTAGTAAATTTAGTGACCGTTTAAAGTTTCTGAGCTTTCATCTATTGTACGCGCAATATTTTTGCCAAGTTTGGTTAAAGCAATTAGAAAATATGAATCTTTGGCAGAATAAAGTATACACCTAGCAAGGCGAAGACGGTCGCCAGTATAGAGAGCGGTGTTCTCTTGCCCAACAATAGTATAATTAGTTTGGAAAAGAACCCACCTGATTTAATTAAGCCCTCACGACAAAGTTAACAGATTTTGCCATTTTGCCAGTCTCGTGGCAGTTCGTTATATATTCCAGTTTACTTTCAGTTAACCATGTTTTAAACCGTATCTGATACCTTATAATCAGCCTTCAGATACTGCTTGCCTTCCCTCAGAGACATTTCCCATTTTTTGGCAGTCTCTCTGTCCAGACCTCTCTCTTTAAGTTGGTCCACTATTCCACACAAAGCTTCAAACCCTTTCGCGCCATCCGAAGCAATGTAGTCGAGCTCTTGCAAGGACTTCCTTACGGTCTCCCCGCAGGCAGACAGGACTCTTAACATTGTTGTTGGGCTGAATGGAGTGAAATTCGTCTCCTCGCAATAAGCCTGGTACTGCTTTACTAGCCTGTTAGGGATCATCGCCTTAATGACATTTGGGGTTTCTAATATCTTTCCAGAAGATAGGCGGAGATATCGCTGCCCAAAAGGAAGATCCTGGATAACGTGCGGGCTAGTTATGTAAGTCAAAAAGTGATCCAACTGTTTATTTTCTACTCTCATCCTAGGACTTTTTGCTCGGGCTGGCAAGGCACCCCGCCCATATTGAAGAGAGTGCTGTCTCGCCATTTTGAACCGGTATTCGGTGATCCCTGGAATGTAGTTTAGGATACGCTTAAACGTTATCAGGTCTGCCATGATTGATAATATCTGACGCCTTGTTTCCCAGGTAGATGCGTTTTGGTAAGACTCCGCCAGTGCCTTTAGATATTTTCGGTCTTCTTGTCGTTCACCGATGCCAAGTACCTTCTCGACTGAGCCAGATTTTTTCACGGCCTCCCAGAGGTAGCCTGCGTCTCCTGGAGCAATAACGTTAAGGCCAGAAACAATAACTGACTTCGCCTTTGACACATGGCTTGCTCTAGTACGTTCGCTGGCTGCCTCCCATCGCTTTTTGTATGACCCGACTGTGTGAGCATTACATGAACGTAAGAAATCGTTCAACAGAGAACGTCTTGTTGCTTGACTACTAATTTGTGGATCATCGCCGTTAGAACTCTCGCTGCTGCTGCTCGCTTGAGAGTCCGTTTGATACAGGCTAGTGTCGATCTCGGAGTAGTGTCCTGATTGGTCAAGCTGTGGATGAGAGTATTCGTCTCTTATGGTCAGGTGGTGCATTGACTGGCTAACGTTGTCTTCAACTTCTTTACTCTCCACATCTTCTCTAGAAAGGAAAATGAACTAGTTAGCGCAGAAAAATATATAAACTCGATGTCGCCGCTGTAGAGCGAATGACTTTTTTAACCGCGTAGATATCACCACTGCAATGATATGTAAGTGTTCTCCCATCAATACATGATATAAAGGAGTAGTATCATGAAGGAGGCTGGGTTCATCAAAAGTGGAGGGGAGGAAAACTCGCCTTTTGCTGAACCTCATTAAACTATTAAAAGCCACTCGGACAAGGTTATAATCTGTTATGTTCATGCCATAGCTATACCATATAGCTCTATCTACCTGTGCGATATTTTGTGATATCTGCTCTTCCGGTTTGTCTACGTTAGATCCTAAAGCTTCTGTGGTCGATTCTGAGCTGGGAAATACTAATAACTGTGTTGTTTCTTCCAACTTTCTCCTGCAGTGCTTGCAGATTTCTGGAAAAAATAGTGGATTGCAGAACATTACTCAGAAAATCTGTGCCAAACTCTTATAGCTTCTGTTTTTGCTCATGATGCTCTTCGTTTTTGAAATATTGCAGCTATGTGTTGAAACTGTTCGGTAACACGTTTCTTGATTTAAAGATTTTAGGAGGCGGGGGTATATCCGATTATGAATTTAAAATACAAAAAATGGCAGTGGAAGAAATTGAAACTGCCATTTTTTTACGCTCTAAACCCGGCAATGTTGTAACATATCACTACAGGTTTAACACTCACGGGAGCCTACAGGAAGCAACACTTGGGTTTGCTGGTAGAGTGGCTTGGAATGTAGAGACGATATTCCTCTCTCCCCTGACACTAAAGTTCCATGCGATGACCATTCACTGGGAGCAGTGCATATCCTCTTATTTGAACGCCATCTAATGCCAAATTTGTCTCGATGTCTTGGGCATATTGTTAGTTCAAGGTGACTTTCGTTTAACTCAAAAATCCCTTCAAAGATAAAAAAGGTTGTAAGGTGCCTTTTACTTAACAATTTTTAGCGTATATATCACAGCGTCGTTCACATTTTATTCGCTTCTTCCACGTTTATTGTTAATTTATGCACAAAAGATAAATCAAAGCTTTATTTTTAATTTTTCTTTGGACGTCCAGGCATCCCAAAAGCAGTTTTTGTTCCTCACTTTTGTAAAGTTCCTGTGAAACAAACAAGGCTGTAATGCTCGCGATAAAACTGAGATGGTTTATAAATGTAGGCAATATTAATATTTTTTTTAAAATAAACTTCTCAACGCACTGAAGTATTAATGATCAGGAATAAGTTTAAATTTTGCGTGTTTACTGAGCCGAGAAACACGGAGGCTTTTACTTTTGCGTTTTGGCTCAGTTCAGATGTTCTGATATTGATCTTAATTTGATTAAGTCGGCTACTGCACGGGTTAATTATCACTCATATCTTTGTCAGTAAAATTCATTCTTGAATAACACGCTATGTGTTTTAGGAATATGTCTAAAAATATTTTAGCGTTGTAAGTTGCAATCATGGCCCTTAATTAACGGGGTAAAAATTGTATATGAAATGCAGTAAAATGAGAAGTACACGACATTAAACAATCAAAGCAGGTGCTGAGCGTCACGCTTCATTAAGCCTTCCTTTCAAGTCATTTTCCGCGTTACCCTTGTCACTAAACCTTGAACATCGTCCAGTTTTATTTAGTGTGTAAATTATGGACAATAATTAAAATCTACAGGCTGCAGACGTAGGAAAACTAGTGATGCTTCGATAAATTTGCGGACACCTTTCAAAATATAAAAACAGTCTGAATCAGATCACGACGCAGCTAAATTACATTTAGTTTTAGTGTCACACCGATTCTTCTTGATGTAAAAAGATTGGGAGGCGTTTATTTTCCTTTCTTTAAATTATGCGTCTATTCTTTCTTGTTTTTTTTTTTTAAAAGATGGCCTGTTTAATACAGACATCTACCTTACGTACCTGCACGTGCCAACAACAGCTTTGGTTCAGAGTCTAAACTAGCGTCTCGAATGTTGCAAGAACGTAGATGCCCTTGTATGGCTTTTGTACACTTGGCGAGGATCACGCTCTTCACATTTTCTGGATTGTCCACACTAGAACCACATGTTCCTCCTGCAATCTGCCCATACTCACACGAAGCCATTTGCAAGTACACAATGATTGAATGAAGTCAATGAATAAACTGCACTGTACAAATTAACAGGTGCAATTAAAGACAAAGAAGTAAGCCAGTGCTGCTTCTTCGGAATGCGGGCTCTTCTCAATTTACGGAGGACAACTCGATAATCCAGGAAAAAAGATTTTTTTTATCAGTCCAAAACAAAAAAAAATTTAACTACCAAAGATGTACCGACCTCTCCGCGACCATATCCAATCCTGTGTGTCCTGTGGCATTTAATACTTGGTCATGTTGCACGTTCAGATGATATATGCGCTTGGCGATTTTTGCCAGGAACTTCCATGAATGCGGTTCTTTCTATCCAAGAAAGCATCGCTGAGATAAGACATATTAGTAATGTACCTCGCACATTGATTTACCTCGCATTTGTTGCCGCATTTGTGTTGTATCAATAGACTGGTACTACAGAGTCGGCGGTAGACAAAACTGACATGTCTGAGCAAACTGTCTCTAATTTCCAATTTTACTATTCCAAATTAATTGCATGGCTCAAAATTTAAAAGGCAAGTATTTCTAAGTAAAAACAAACTGGTAGAGCCAAAAAAACGTCATCACGCAAACAAAAGTCAGAGCTCATGGCGTTTATTTCCATGAATATGAAAGGTCAAAGGTCACTCATAATTGATAAAATGACCTGTTTTGAAATCGCTCTCAGAACTCGCCGTTTCATTTACCCCACTTTTTTTTTTCATGGATGTTTAGTTGAAATGATAATGTTTCCTCGTACTATAGTTTTGTTGGTCAAAGCGATGTACCAGCGTGCTTTTTTAGGCCTTGAATTTAGCCAAAATACTGTTGTTGTAATCACCATTGAAAGGTGTAGAATTAGAAAATCTGCCAAATTTTCACGTTTACAGTTTATTTGCATTTGACGACACCGATAATCTGAGGAAAGAAGATAGTTTGATTTGCTTGGTTAATCTTTTTAAGAAAGGTTTCAAGGTATTAATGAGAGCTTCTGCAAAAGTGCATATTTCGGCGTGATTGAAGCCGGCGTTAACGGCCAAAATTTAAAAAATTCACTAAAAAATAAGTAAAACCCCAAACGACCCGAAAGTTATATTTTTAGAAACAGTTCACCAAGGCCTTCTTTCTGGCAAAGTTTGGGAAAATTGGATTTTTCTATCTTGCATGCCCTTAGTCGGTCCTTAGAGAAAACCGCTCTTAATGCGTCCTAATTGTTTTTATGACACCTTCTTTCGTAGTCACAAAGCTTTAGACAAGTACAACATCTGTGCAAAAAATCAATACCCTCCGACCTTACATCGCGAAGTTACAGCGATTTGAACAACTGGCCTTCACAGACAACCCCGGACAAAACTGTTGAGACAATTCCATCTATTTTCTAACTTTTGCGCCCTACTCCCGTCTCCCCTAAACACAAAAAGTAAACCCCCTCCCCACCCCTATTCAAAGTTGCCTTGGTCTAAAAACCAACGTGTATAATTGCCATGCTATCCTAAACAACTTTGGATAAGGGGAGGGGGGAAATCGGGCATTCATTTGGCGGCGGTTTCAGTTTTTGCCGGGATGACAGGAAAAAATAGGCATTTTCGCGATTTGTCTCAGCAGGTTTTGTCCGGGGTTGTCTGCGGACTGTCAGTTTTCGGTATTCTTTAACTTTCATAGCAATTACCTCAAGTTATAGTCCTCTCTTTTGGTCAAGTTGATAAAAGCCATTGTTTCAGCATACTTTTTTTTTCTTTTGAATGCGAAATAAAATTTTTACAGTAAAAATTGAAGTTATAACACTCTGATTACATGATCTGTCAAATGACATTTACTCTGTGACGTTACCATGGGCATGACTTTCAACGGCTTACGTGTCCGTAGACGCTTTGCCTGCTCAAATGATGACATTGATATGTAATCGCCAGACAAAATGGATCTCTCGAGAACTTCCGATAGTGACGAATCATTTTCAGGAGGCTCGGAAATATCGCATGAATCACTAGGTGAGAGGAAGGTTAGTGCGCTTATCTGGTCACTTACAGTCACGCGAATTTGGCTTATTTTTCCATCCCGCGAGTAATTTGCCTTAGCAGTGATTACGTCGTTCGCCAAGTGTAGTGCAAAGATCCTACACTTAATAGGACAACATTGCCTCAGTTACAGCAAATGTGGAATTGTGTACGAACGGGAATGTGGTATGATGGATCTCTCATTTCTCCACGCAGATCCCGCGGGAACAATAACGGGAAATCCCTTGATGTGTAAGGTGCTTCGATGAGCTTGCTATGCAACAAAAACGGAGTAGTTTTTCTCGCAGACGGTTAACTTAACGAATAAAGTACCGCAGAGGAAAGAAACATCGGTTAACGACGGTTAACAACGGTTAACAACTTTTCTGAAGAAAAACAACAGTTAGACTATCAGTTTCCTTTAATATATTCTGTTAACCGCTGTTAACCGTTGTTAACCGTTGGAATAAACATGTGCGTGCCTGTTAATCGTTTATTTCAAGCGTTTACGGTGCTTTCAAGCATTTTCCGTAGTATATAGACCTTTTTGTTGATTTTCAAGCATTAAAAAGACCTTTTTACTCAAGGGAAAACTTTTTGACACTGGTGTAATTGTCATGAAATGCGCTGTTTTTTTGCCACAAAAGAACTGCCATCGCGTTCATTAATATTTGTTCTTTTGGCCTTGGTTGTCATAGAAGAATTAACGGTTTTATCGGCATGGATTCCATTATTTTGTCAAGTAGATAATCTGGTATATATGTTGTAAATTGTTCTAATTACACACTCAGTAAACGCGGGTATTGTTAACTCGGTGAAGCTTACTTTTCCAGTTCTACTCTAACTACATGGAGAAAGTTGTCACTGCAACTAAGTATCACTACCTCTAAGGGTTATTTTTAAGTGCTCCGCCGCATTCTTGAGTCCTCGTGCATGACCTGCACACCACGCACTATTATTTTTGAACAGGACAGTTGTGCTGCGCAAATCTAATAAATACCCAGTCTTATCTAATTTATTCGACATGTAAGCACAATTAACGTTGGTAAAAAGGCCGGAGGTAAGGCTCCTATTAAGATATCATACTTGTGACACACAGTAACTCCTTAACCGTGGCCACCAACCACAATTAATTTCAATACTTTTTCTGTAAAGAGCATGATTTCTTTCTCATTTAGGTATAAGGTTTCTAATTTATGGCTAAATTTCTAAGTGCATAATTAATGCGTCCTAATTGTTTTTATGACACCTTCTTTCGTAGTCACAAAGCTTTAGACAAGTACAACATCTGTACAAAAAATCAATACCCTCCGACCTTACATCGCGAAGTTACAGCGATTTGAACAACTGGCCTTCACAGACAACCCCGGACAAAACTGTTGAGACAATTCCATCTATTTTCTAACTTTTGCGCCCTACTCCCGTCTCCCCTAAACACAAAAAGTAAACCCCCTCCCCACCCCCTATTCAAAGTTGCCTTGGTCTAAAAACCAACGTGTATAATTGCCATGCTATCCTAAACAACTTTGGATAAGGGGAGGGGGGAAATCGGGCATTCATTTGGCGGCGGTTTCAGTTTTTGCGGGGATGACAGGAAAAAATAGGCATTTTCGCGATTTGTCTCAACAGGTTTTGTCCGGGGTTGTAGCTCTACTCCCTCGTGATTGCCAGACTGGAAAGTTTGTGTTTTCGTGTTTACTCGCTTGCCTAAAAAGCGGACGTCACGTGTAATCTTCGTGAAAGTACTTTCGTAACAACAACGGACAACGGAGATACTACTGGGAAGAAACGAAGAAAGATATAAGAAAATCAAGGGAAGAGACAGTTAGTGTAGCTTTTTGGCCAGACCTAACTCAATACTTGAGATAAACAATAGGTTGCGCAGGGAAGGTTGGACAGGAATGTGCGAAGCACCATGTCGCGTATGGCAAGGGGGCTCATTTGGAACAAACCGTGGAATCACTGGCGCCCTAAGCCTGGTATTGCACAATCGGGATTAACTGCCCATTTATAACAAGATGTCAAAAAAAATCTCAGGAAAGATCGATATTGCGTACTGATAATGATGGAGACTACATTTTGCACGTCACAGCATAAGCGAAACACTAGCCTCTGCTCAAAGGGTAGAGATAGTGTGAAGTAATATTTCAAACACGACACGCACTGTTTCATCCAATTTCCAGACACCGAGAAGTGGGTGCACAGACCTACTTTTGTACTCAATTGAGTGGTCATTTTTATGCTAGAGACGATAAAGCCGTCATAAGACGACTATAATATCTGTTGTAAAAACGGTAAATAAGACAGACGCTCTTAAAGTGTGACGACATTAACGTCTTCTGTTAATTGCGTCGTTTAGACGCACTCATTAACAAACGTCTTCAACGTCTCAAACGTTAAATGGGCCTCGCCTAAAAACAGGACGGCGTAAACTGGGACGCAATTACACGCCCAACCCGTTCGAAAACGACTGGGAAGAGTTAGTGTTTTGTCCTTTTCAGAAAACTCTGTTTTGTTCAATGTGTACCTCTACTTTTATGCGTCCCGGTGTTACACCAGACGACTTTAACGTCTCCAGCATAAAAACGGCCAGTTAATAACTTGTTCTCCTTTCTTGCCTCTTTATACAATATTTTACTCACTGGAAGTGAATTAAGTTAACCCAGGGTCATAAAGCGAGAATAAGAGAGGAAGCTGCAATTTCTTTTGTTTTTCAGTGAATCGTCTTTCGTTTTTTAACAATACAGTAATTTATTGTTTTCTATCTAACGTGACGCATTTTTTATTCTCACTGGACGAAAGCTATCCGCCAGCTTTAGCTAAGAGAAAATTTCAAAGAAACAACCATATTTATTAATGTCGAGGGTCAGTTGATTACATTTTAACGCCTTGCAAGTCAAAAAAGCAAAACGCAAAGAAAAGACGGGGGTGGCTATAATTTCAAACGTGTAGATTGAAAATTTTCATGCGCATCGCATGTTTTGACTCTGAGAGGTACGTAGT